ACCCTGATTCATGCATTCATCACATCATATCACGACTCGACTACTGTGATAGGCAGTGGTTCCCAAACGGTGTGACGCGAGTTCGTCCGAAGAATAGACAGGAATGTGACGGTGAGGTGCAAACTGTGTCCAGGCCAGAAGCTGTTATCCACTGCTGTAAACACCACGTCAAACCTCAACAAGCACCTGCAAAGAACACATGCTAAGGTGAATCTACCGCACACGCTATTTGTTGTTTGTTTATATCAGCGCCATATGGCGCTGGTTTATATCACGTAGTCTGTTCTTCTTCTCTGTCTTCCGGTTGTTGCCTGTTTTGAATGACAAATACACACTACCGCCGCCTGCTGGTAAGGAAAGTTATTGCCACTCACGCATGCGCAGTTCGTACGTGCTCGGCGAGTAAAGTAACGAGTTACTTTATGTAGATAGTAACGAAGTAGTGTAATATATTTTTATTTATATATTTTTTTTTTAAGTAATATGTAATATATTACATTTTTTTAGTAACGACCCCATCTCTGGAGTTGGCGTTCTCTACTCTGGTTTACATGAAGAATAACAGGAGGTCACGGCTCTCTGTTGAACAGGACTTGCGAGTGGCCCTCTCCTCAGTGCCACCAAGGATTAAAAAATACTGCGCGCCCCGACAGGCACATGTATCTCACTAATTTGTAAGTCGGCAAAATATTTACAATAGCACATGTTTCAATGCTGAAATGTTACATTTATAATTTGTAGTTCAGGACCATGGACAATGCAGCTTCCTTGCATTGACAGTTCTCTGTGCTGAATTTCTGCTGAGTTTCCTTTGCATCATTTTTAATTTTGTGACCTGTCTGGTTTAAATGAGTGTGTTGCTGCTTTGATGAAGCCTAATTTGATAAAGTTTCAAATTAATTTCTGAAATATTTTGTTAATAAATATTTCATGAGTAATATAGTTGTCTTTGTCACATTTTATTTGGCATTAGTAAATAATTATGCACATTTACAGATATTTTACATGCTATGAGTGATAACACGTGTTATAAGGGCTATTTTGCACAATAGGTGTGCCTTGAGATTTTTACTTGTCCTTTGGTGTGCCTTGGGCACAAAAAGTTTGGGAACCACTGCTCTACGGCATACCATCCAACCTCCTCAATAAACTCCAACATATCCAGAACTCTGCTGCCCGCCTCCTCACCCACACCCGCTCCCGAGACCACATCACTCCCATCCTCCAGAACCTCCACAGGCTCCCCGTCCGTCAAAGAATCAACTTCAAAGTCCTCCTCATTACTCACAAAGCCCTCAACAATCAGGCCCCCCCCTACCTCACAGACCTGCTGCACCACCACACCCCTTCCCGCTGCCTCCGCTCATCAGAAGCCAACCTCCTATCCATCTCCACCCACATCAATCACCGTACCTGGGGGGACAGAGCCTTCTCCGTCGCTGCCCCCTCCCTCTGGAACTCACTCCCACAACCCATCAGAGACTGCACTGACCTCACCACCTTAACTAAAAAAACAACTAACTCACAAAAACTCACCTCTTCAATCTGGCTTTTAATGTGTGATTGTTTTTGTATTATTTGACTTTAACTTTAACTATATATTTATTTGTTGTTCCTTTCTTTTCTTTTCACTATATCTGTAAAGCGTCTTTGAGCACCTGTAAAAGCGCTAACAAAATAAATCTATTATTATTATTATTAGTTTTCACTATAAGTAAAAAATAGTTTTTTGGACGGACACTATAATTTACAGTTTTTTACTATGTTCAATCTGAATTTACTTTAAAATAAAAAAAACATCTATATTGATTCTGACTTTTCTACATCCAACTCACAGGTTTATCATTACTTTGAGAAAAAAGATTATTAATTTAACCCTTTTAGAAGGGAAGATATGGTCATTTGTTCTGGGAATGTCATTTTCGAGCCTGAGACCTGAAAAACAGGCTCAGTGCTTAACAGTTTAAAATATGCACAGTCTTGTTTTGTTTAATTACTGGGCATGTTCCTTTTGTGATACTATATAACTTTATAATTGATAGTTTAAATGTATATCTGTGTTTTAATGTTTTGTGTAGTGGATTCATCCATCCTCCCATGCCCCCCTGCCAAAACCTCTTGCCACCCCATGTAAAATTGTCTAGATCCGGTTCCGAGCATTAACTAGCTACCATCACATGTATCTTAGTTTGACTTAAACTTATTTAACATATAATTAAGTGACAGCAAAATATAAATAACTAATGTCATGCAGAAATATTAATATTGGCTTGATTCCAGCATTGAATTTAGCACAATTAACTATTAATGAACAATTAACTAACTCTGTCGAGATGGCAGTGGCCGACTCCGCCTACTTCGGGGTTCACAGCAACTCTGCAGAAACCTATGGGTGACTGTGACTACCCGGTTTGCATGTCTGCCCGATTTGCACTGCGCAAGCGCAAGTTGGTCTGCCATATTGCACAGTTACATACAGCAATCGAGGTAGGACAGTTGACAAAGCGGCGTTTCGCTAAGAAGAAAAGAAAACGACCACATTAATCTGAACGAGAGAGATGAGTTATCAGAATCAGAAACAGGTTTATTGCCAGGTAGGTTCACACATACGAGGAATTTGACTTCATTTTGTTAGAAATTAAAATCAATGTTTTGATGGTATAATATAGCTTAAACATACCGTCAGTTTAAATGCTGTTTTATACTGAAAAACCAGACATTCTTGTGCACAACCAGTTGTTAAGCTTTTATTCTGAAAATCCTTCATCTCCGGTTAGCATTTAGCATGTGGCTAGTATACCATTTCCTATAGAGGTGAATTTAGTAGCGAAATGACATGGAGTGTTGCACACCGAAACCTACTGATTTTAACACTACAACTATAGACGTTGAGATATTATTATTGTTGAATATTAAATGAAGGTAAAGTTTATTTGAGTACGTTATTGTTTACAGACGTGGGTAGCATGTGACAACATCCAGAACGACCGGAAACCAAACTGCCGTGAAGTATTTCCTGTATTTTTTGGAGTATTGATCAGTAGCGTGGCGTGGGGAAAAATGTAGGGGAAGACCATTTTTTGGGTCGGGGGGGTGGTCAATAATGTAACCAGATGAGTGATTACAGCGCCCGGTATCATTTGACACACATTTGTATCACACAGATGCAGAACTTACACACGCCTGTTATCTAACCGAAAGGTCCGCACGCACTCTCCAGCTGAAACTCTCTCCTTATTAATTTAAGCATTTTACTTATTAATGTATGCAGACAATCACACAATCTATGTGATTTGTGGATTTACCGTGCCTCTCAATTGCCCGTGGCAGGTTGGCAAGGTCGATGAATCCTGAAGTTGCCCAAGGATTGTTCAGGGAGCACGAATCCTTGTCAAAAAGAAGACATGGCCAGCAAAATAGACGCTGAAGTTTAGCGCTTCCAGTTAGCCACTCCGTGCGGACATAATTGTCCTCATTGAACGTCCGATTCTCTCCCTTTTTCCTCTGTGTACACACAGCTCGAGTGTGAGCATTGGCCTGTCATCTGATTTAATTTTTAGTTGCTGCTGTAGCGGAAGTTTAGTAAAGTTATGTTTGATTAAGTACGCCAAATCTCCACCCTCCATAATGCTTCATTTGCTTGATAATTTCTAACGGCGGTGATGACAGTTACAGTATTAAAACTGATGTTGATGTGATTTGATTGGATGGCAGTGTCCAATCAAATCGCCAGCCGCCTCTGAAGGGAAGCAAGAGGCGGCTGGCTTCCCTTGGCATGGCCCTGACCAATCACAGGTTGGCAGGGGCATCACGTGGGCCTCATCGGTCAATCCCTCCATTTTTTTTCACCAAAGGAAGCCAGATTCGGCTGGCCTCCTCTCGCAACAGTGAGTGCAATCTACTGTTTCACCATAACATCTAGAGGGGCGCTGTTTGTTTCACTCTTTGTAAAATACTCAATGAGAATGGGGGAGAGACGGGCCGGCAGCAACACACAGCAACGGATAATTATCTTAACAAAACAAAGTGTTTTTATTTATTTATTTAAATTATAACTACAATCCGAAAAAACAGGGGAAGCCTGGCTTCCCTTGGCCTCCGGGAGAAAACGCCACTGGTATTGATTACAGCGTTTAGAATGTGTTAAATGAAAAGTCATGAAAGAGTTAAGGAGGAGAAAAGGCGTGTTTAGATATATATTGGATGTACAATGTCTGTATCCTCTGATATGCGTAACAACGGACATTAAATACGTGGAGGGCCGGCCCCCAGCAGCGCCAACCGGCCCACAGGGAGAAGCCAGCAGAGGATATATATATAACAGCTGGAAAGGTGGAGCGGTCTCTTTCCTTCGCTCACGAGAGCCAGAACACAGCTGTTTTTCTGACTGAACAATATTCTGCTTGTAACATTACCGCGCCTTTTTTAATTCAAGTACCCATTTGAAACTTTTCAGAAACTCCATTTAGTCTCCTTTTCTAAAGCTTCTCTCCTGGACGCGAGAATAACAAACACAGTTAACAATTTCATAATGCATACATAAAATATAAAACAAGAAATCTAATATAAAACTAAAAATCTTTAAGGACACCGTAATAACATATAGTTAAATAGCAATAAAATAAAGCAGTAATTTACATGGAAATAGAATGCTATGAATGAATGATAGGATATAAAATATGAAATATGAAACAAGAAATATGTGCAGTAAGCAGTATGAACATTGTGTGCATTAATGTAATGCATATAGAGACTACGTTGTGTCTGAGGTAAGTGTCAGTGGGAGGGCCGGCCTTGTTTAAGAGGCCGGTAGCGGAGGGGAAGAAACTGTTCAGGGGATGAGAGGTTTTGGTCCTGATGGAGCGCGTCCTCCTGCCAGAGGGGAGGGGGGTGAACAGTTTGTTTCCAGGGTGGGAGGGGTCGGCCACTATCTTCCCTGCCCGCCTCAGGGTTCTAGAAGCATGAAGGTCGTGGAGGGATGGCAGATTACAGCCGATCACCTTCTCTGCAGAGCGGATGACACGCTGCAGCCGGCCCTTATCCTTGGCTGTGGCTAACCAGATGGTGATGGAGGAGGTGAGGATGGACTCCATGATGGAGGTGTAGAAGTTCACCATCATCATCTTTGGCAGGTTGAATTTCTTCAGCTGCCTCAGGAAGAACATCCTTTGCTGGGCTTTTTTGATGAGGGAGCAGATGTTCTGCTCCCATTTGAGGTCCTGGGCGATGATGGTGCCCAGGAAGTGGAAAGACTCCACAGCAGTTACTGGGGAGCCACACAGAGTGATGGGGGCGGGTGGGGCTGCGTTCTTCCTGAAGTCCACAACCATCTCCACTGCCTTGAGAGCGTTGAGCTCCAGGTGGTTTTCCCCACACCAGGTCACCAGATGGTCCATCTCCCACCTGTAGGCAGACTCCTCCCCACCAGAGATGAGTCCGATGAGCGTGGTGTCGTCTGAACTTCAGGAGCTTGACAGACTGGTGACTGGAGGTGCAGCTGTTGGTGTACAGGGAGAAGAGCAGAGGGGAAAGAACGCAGCCTTGAGGGGAACCAATGCTGATGGTCCGGGGGTCAGAGACGTGTTTCCCCAGCCTCACGTGCTGCTTCCTGTCAGACAGGAAGTCTGTGATCCAGCTGCAGGTGGAGTCGGGCACGTGCAGCTGGGAGAGCTTGTCCTGCAGCAGAGCCGGGATGATGGTATTAAAGGCGGAGCTGAAGTCCACAAACAGGATCCTGGCGTAGGTTCCTGGTGTATCCAGGTGCTGGAGGAGGAAGTGAAGGGCCATGTTGACAGCGTCGTCCACAGACCTGTTGGCTCTGTAGGCGAAATGCAGGGGGTCCAGGAGGGGGTCTGTGATGTATTTCAGGAGGGACAAGGCGCTCAAAGGACTTTATAACCACAGAGGTCAGGGCGACGGGTCTGTAGTCATTTAATCCTGTGATCCTTGTTTTCTTGGGAACCGGGATGATGGTGGAGGTTTTCAAGCATGCTGGGACGTGGCATGTCTCCAAGGAGGGTGTTAACCTGTTACAGTTTTTCTCGATTGCTAACACACATTTTTTTTTAAATTGCTCAGTTTCTCAGAACACTAAACACAATTCACAAAACCACACACCCAAAGTGCAAAACACCTAATTTCTCCTGCTAAGTGAAGAACTGCCCTCAAAACTACATAAACACTTACCAAATGCAAACTTTAGCACCAAATATAACACACTTCATTTATAATACTAGATGGTTTGACCACCCATCTACACACTGCTGAGCATACTCTAAAGCACTTTCATCTGTTATGGGCTGTGCTCTGTACAGAGAGGGTTCTGCAGAGAAAGATTGCTTGAGTTTACAGAAATACAGTAAATGAAGAAATATAAATGAGTTGTTGAAAAAAATCACATTTTATTCAAAACTAACATTGTGCAACCTGCATCTCAGCACATAGCTACTCTGCTTCGGATCTCTCTAAGTGGGATGCACTGTTTGCCAAAACCCAGTTTGTAACTGCTGCTTCCTGTGCCTCATTGAACATCCTTAGCCTTCCACCTCTTTGTTTCTCAGTCCTTCAGATAAACAACAAAGATATAGTGTTGGTCAGTGTCTGTGTTGCATAAAAGTAAGTTTACCACAGTACATTGTGCAGGATGTTTGTACAGTTATAGTATGCAACATGCCAACAATTCAATTACAGTAATGAAGTAAATACGTTTCACACAACAGATATAAGCTCTGATATATCATGAGTTATGCAGAGCTATAAACTGGGAACTAACCTGTTTTCAAGTCTAAGTGTCCGGATTACAGAGGCGACAGTACATCGGCTTAGATTAGGCTGAACCCTCTGTCCAGCCTCTCTCATCGTCACACCATGGTTGATAACATTTCATTTCATTAGAGAGTATTCTTCTTTGTCCACGTCCTCTCCATCCAGCTCTACCTCTACCTCTCATTCTTCCTCCTCTCACTCTCACCCACCTCTTCCTCCTCCTCTCACTCTCAGCCCAGCCTTTCCTCTTCCTCTTCCTCTTGCTTCCATGTTGGCTTCCATTGTTGCTGTAAGAAAGTTCTCACCTGTGGTCTTTTCATAGTGCTAACATCCTGATTGATGAGCCAACAATTATGCTATCAGGTGTTTGGTCAGGTGGAGCGTGTTTCTTGATCATTGGTCCATGTGTGAGGCATTTTGAATATCAGTGTTATGTATGTGCTAACACGTGACTTGATGTCAGATTCCTGTGTCTTACGTGGAGAAACGTGTGCAGTGGTTTGCAAAAAGTGCCATGTTGATTTGCAAATTGTGTGAAAAGCTGAAAACCTGTTTAGAGTTTTGGAGATTTGAGCCGATGTTTGCTCTTTGAGTGTCAGTTAAAATAATTGTGCTTTATGTAGAATTTTAGTGTGTTAGCAATCGAGAACAACTGTAAGACCGAGAGTACCCTAATCTGGGTCCGGCGGGTCGTTTTTTCACAAAACTGTGTCACAGGCACTGTTCGAAATGGGGGGAGCCAAGCTCCCCTAAAGAAGGGGGGGGCTTCCGATTTGGAGATAAATAGGGGGAGGCCAAAGAAATCGTGCATATTTGTGTCACACAGATTAGAAATGTTGAGTTTCTGTAAATAAAAGTTCTTGAAATAAATAATAGTCATTGTTCACAGTTTCTGAATATTTGTTTTATATTTAAGCAATAGCTCACGACAGGCCATGGTATATGGCCATTATATCACAGTTAAGGGGCGTGGTTCGGCTGTGATATATTGACCATATATCACGGCCTGAAGTGAACTATTGCTTTTATAAAATGGTTACCAAGTGTGGCAATATGAAAGAAAAATACACACTTAAATAGTTTTTATTAGTAAATATAATGATGTTCAAAATAAAATAGTCCCTCTGTTGCCTTCTGCACAAAACATAGTGCGAGGTGGTTGCTATGCAACAACACTAACAGCTAGCGAACATATTAGACAGAGAGCGTTGATCCATTATTTTAAAAACTGTCCAGCATCAGTAGAATAGCTTACGTGGTTACTTGCATAGGTTGAGGTTGTTCTAGGCTGTTGCTTGGCGTGGCGATAACATTGCTCCACTTTCTCCGGTCCCCGAGATTCGGCTTCCAGTAGCTCTTGAGAGAGCTTTGAAATGTTCATATTGATATATTTTTTTAACTCTGGCTTTGTAATAAAAAATATGACAGCCAAGCCTTGCAGCTTTTGGATTCACAAGCAAAGAAGCGAAGGAGTCTAAAAATGACAACGTGAACGGAACAACTTTTAGTTGGCTGGCTGTAAGCGGCGTTAAGGTCGTGTTTTGTGAAATGCTGTAGTGTTTTGTGAAATGCTGTAGTGTTTTGTGAAATGCTGAGGTGTTTTCTGAAATGCTGTAGTGTTTTGTGAAATGCTGAGGTGTTTTCTGAAATGCTGTAGTGTTTTGTGAAATGCTGTGAAAAGGTGTGAAAGGAGGGATTTGTGGAGTCTATTTGTATATAACATTACAAGAGGGATTCTTATTATTACATTATATGCTTATTGTGCTCATGAGATTGCTATGACTATAGAATAAATAGACACAATCACTAATCCCAGGTTCTGATGGGTTAGATACTAACGAAGGGAATAGTCAGAAGAAAGTTTTCAGCTTGCAATACTAATGTAGCAAGGTCAGGTGCACACACTGGAAGAATACAAAGAGTTATTCATAAACAGGACATCACTCCGGCCTTGAGCTTTGGGTGAGCTCCGCTCCGACACATAGCTAGGAAGCAGCCTTATGAAGATTCCAGTTTTTCTGTAGAAACGTTAGCGAAAACAAAGTACGTATGATGGTGCCAGAGTAGGGAGGGACTTCCACAGGCCGGCCAAATGCTGATTGGAGGATCGTGTTGCCAAGAGGTCTGCGCACCTACCAAACAGAACCAAGTCTAAACCATGGTATCTCTTTAGCTAGTCTTGACCAATCATAAATGTACGGGCAACGCCCTGTGTAATAAAAATGTATTGACGCACGAGGTTCGCGGCTCTTTCCGGAAAATAGTGGTTATATCTCTCACAGGCTCCGCCCTCTACTGGACTCTATGGGTACTATCTTACCCCGCGAGCATTCTCCCACTGAGACTTCTTTAGAGGTAGCCGGCCTTGGGCGGGCCTACCTGAATGCGCGCGCATCACACCACATAAAAGGAGGCCTCGCCTCCTGACTATCATCCTTTTCCTTTTCTCTTCAGCAGCGGAAGTGATTCCACGAGAGACTGAGAGACGTTTGAAAGAAGAGTTATCATACCTCCAGGGAGTCGCCACTGCTAGAGACCCGGGCCTGTCCTTCGTGCCCTGGCTGAAATAGCGGGCGCCGATCCCCACCACCTTTGCTTCGAGTGTTTGGGGGACTAGGATATGGCCGAGGCGGTGCCATTCACGTTCGCCATTCCTTCCGGGTCTGGCGTCCATGGAAGTCCACCGCCCGGCTGTACTCTCCCTGGATGATGATCATGGCGGCGGGTGTGTGGGCTACTCACTCATTGCTAGAGATGCCCCCGCCTCACCAGGTCAGAGCGATTATTGGGCCGCAAGGCCGAATAAGTAGCTTGGTCCACGGGCCTTGCCCCAGGCCCGGTTCCCCCGGGGGCCCGGTGCTCGGTGGCTTCACATGATATAGGGTCGACCCTACTTCATCACAGGCCGCCGCCGCTGCCCGTCGTGTGATGTCCCTGAGATATCACGCCGCGTGGCACTTTCCAAAGAGGATCGTGTTGATCTCCTGGGAGCCCCCGTGTTTACGGAAGGGCTCTTTGGATCGTTCTCCTTGCTCACGGGATGAGGAGTAGTCGCAGCGTGGCTGCTTCTTGCCCATTCCCAGAGGAAGAAACACTGTCCTACACACCCCGCCCCTGCTGTAAACCCCAGTATAGGGAGCCAGCAGGTGGGCGTGTGCACGTGAGTGGAATAAACCGAGTGCTGTCAAAGCACTGTGCGGGTTCAAGAGACGCTATTGCCGGCGTGCTGTTGTCAGAAAACACACCTTGCCTGGTATAATAGCTCCGATTAATGCATTTCACCGTTGCAATGGGAAATACAGCGTTAATACGTGGGCGCGCGGCCCTCGTGAGAGTGGCCGCGGTGCGTTCAGGGACCCCCGCAGGAGAACGGTGGTTTACGTTTGTAAAGTCTAGTTCTGGAGTGAGGTGTGTGTGTGGGAAAAATGCATTCAGTAAAGACTATTGCATTTATCCCAGAGTAAGAGTCATTTCTCTCCACAATTCCACTTTTCCCCATAATGTCCGTTTCAAAGAGACGGCATTGTGACGGCGCGCGGCCCCCCTCCCCCGAGGGCGGGCCACGGTGCGTTCAAAGACCTCAGTAGAGAGGTGAGACGAAGGGAGAGGTGCCGGCACGGAGATCCCGTGCCCGCGGCGCCCTCCACCTCTTCGGTCCACCCCGTGGAACCGGCGTGCCGGCACTCACGGGGACGGGCTTTCTGTCTTTACGGATCTGGCTGGCGGGGGGAGAAAATCTCTCCGCCCGGGACGAGGGGGCGAATCCCGCCTCCTCCCTGTATAATGCACAGATCACTAAGTTTTCTAATAAGAATGAGGTTGATCTGTATCCAAGTCTAAGTGTCTTTTGTTTCCACAAAGGCTACACTTACACACAATGTTAACCGTACAAATTCCCCATTCGCTGCCCCAGCTGTAGCTCCTGTAAAGGAGGTGGCTAGTGGGCATGCGCAGATGAGAGGGATGAACCGCAGGGAGTGCTATCTAAAGGAGAGCGCTATGCTATAGGGACATTATGGCCGGCGTATTACTGTCAGGGAACACACTACGCCTAGAGCAAAGACTCCAATGCAGTTTACCGTAGTGGTAAAGGCTGCATTATGGCGGAGCCCGCACTCACACAAGAGTGCGTTGCGGTGCGTTCAGGGACCTTAGTAAAACACACTACGCCTATAAAGACTCCGATGAATGCTGTTTACTGTAGTGGTGAGAACAGCATTAGGGTGGAGCGCGCGCTCACACAAGAGCGTGCGGCGGTGCGTTCAGGGTCCTCAGTAAATAATCGGCCCTTTCTGTGTCAACCCTCCATGGGCAAATCTTCCTTCGCGGGGAGTTTTGCAGCGGAACGGGTCACCAGAGAGTATCACAGCTTCATAGCTGCTGCCCTACACCTGAGGGCTTGTCCATTTACACAATGTTCTGGGGAATGGAAACTCAGCTGTGCGCTAACAAGGTGGAGGGACAGGACGCTGAAACGGGGCCATTCACTCCAGTTTTGCAGCGTCCCACTGTACCACATGTCTATACACTGTACCACTGTATCACATGGACCACTGTCTTGTAGGTGTCCCACACCCACCTCTTTTATGGGCATGCAAGAGGTAAATCTGTCCTCCCAGGAGGAGATGTGTTTCCTCTCAGCAGAGATTCAGGCTCTGGTGCAGAAACGGGCTGTGTCTGTTGTGCACCCTCAGCACAGGGAGAATTATCTTTATTCCATGTACTTCCTGGTTCTCAGGAAGACAGGGGAATTGAGATCTATTCTAGATCTCTGCAGCCTGAATCGCCACATTTCCTGCAGGAAATTCCGCATGTTAACTATGAAACAGTTACTGGGGCTTGTGCAGCCAGGCGATTGGTTCACCACCATCGACCTGAAAGACGCGTACTTTCATGTAGAAATTGCTCCAGAGCACAGAAAGTGTCTGCGTTTTGCCTTCCAGGGGATAGCCTACAAGTACAACAGACTACCGTTGGGCTATTCCCTATCCCCACGCACGTTCAGTAAATGTGTGGCCACTGCGCTTAAACCGCTGCGCGCCCACGGCATGAGAGTTTCCTTTTACTAGACGACCTCATAGTCATGGCTGGGTCCCGGGAACAGGCAATGTTATGCACAGCACAATTGATCACGCACCTAACCAAGTTAGGCTTTGCGATCAATTGAAAAAAGAGCACCCCCATACCTCACCAACAGGCGTTGTAGTTGGGAGTGGTGTTCGATGCAGGCGCGCTACGCGCCACCCTGTCAGAGAGCAGAAGTGCGTCCTTTCTCCGGGCGGTTCACAGGCTGCGACAGGGGGCGACAGTGACAGCTTTAACTGTCATGCAGACTTTGAGTCTCATGACGGCTGCTCACATTGTGGTCCCGCTGGGGTTACTGCATATGCGCCGCCTGCAGAGGTGGTTCTCCAGCCTGCGTTTGGATCCCAAGAGGCACAAACGGCGGCTGGTGACCATCCCCCCCTCAGTGGAGGGCAACCTCCGGTTTTGGGGGTCCCCGGATCACCTCCGGAGGGGGTCTCCACTGGGACGGAGGACCTCCTACATCACAGTGTTCACGGACGCATCCAGAACAGGATGGGGAGGGACCTGCCTGAAGAGGGCTATAGGTGGGCGCTGGGCTCTAACAGAGTTTCGACACAGCAACCTCCTAGAGCTACGGGCGGTAGTGTTAGTCCTCCAGCATGTCATGCCCCTAATTCAAGGGAGACATGTATTGGTCAGGAGCGACAACAGCACCACAGTGGCTTATATCAACAGGCAGGGCGGAGTCCGCTCCGCCGCCTTGTTGACCACAGCGGAGAGGCTGTGGTTGTGGGCTTCAGAGGTGGTTTTAGCCCTAAGAGCCCTCCATAGCCCAGGACTGGAGAACAGGGGGGTCGACCTCATGTAGAGGGGCGGCCCCCTGCCAGGCGAATGGACGCTTCACCCGGAGGTGGTGAAGCAGATCTGGGCCCAGTTCGGGAGAGCGGAAGTGGATCTGTTCGCCAGCCGGCGAAACAGCCACTGTGCCCTGTGGTTCTCCGTGGCTCGGAGCGACGACCCACCCTTGGGGGTGGACGCGTTTGCACACGAGCCATGGCCAAGGAAGCTGCTCTATGCCTTTCCACCGCTGCGTCTCATTCTCCCTCTCCTGGGGAGAGTGAGGCGAGAACGTCTGTCAGTCATCCTAGTGGCTCCGGACCGCGTTGGGGCGCCGTGGTACTCAGAAATGACACAGATGAAGGTGGGCCAGCCCTGGGCGGGTCCCCAGTTCTGGGGGGCGATGTCTCAAGAGGCAGGTGCAATCGGGGCGTTACCCACTCTCGGCCGTCCTCTCCAGGCTTGGCTCCTGAGAGGGACAGGCTGAGACAGGGTGGATTGTCTGACAGTGTTATTCAGTCTATCCAGGCAGCTAGAGCTGGATCCACCACAGCCTGTTACAGGCCAAAGTGGCTAGGATTCCAGCGATGGTGTGAGGAGCGGGGAATAGAGCCTCTATCTTGTGAGTTAGGCTCTATTTTATCCTTCTTACAGTTATTGGTGGACAGAGGGCTTGCGCATTCAACAGTGAAGGTGTATGCAGCAGCCATCTCGTCCTGCCATGAGGGATTTGGCGGCAGGTCAGCCTTTAGTCAACCACTGATGTCGCGATTTTTACAGGGGGTCAGGAGGCTGCGCCCAGTAGTGCACGCCTCCACCCCACAGTCGGACCTGCCCCTAGTGCTCGAGGCTCTGGCCTCGGGGCCGTTTGAGCCTCTGGAGCTCTCCTCTCGGAAAGCATTGTCGTGGAAAACAGCTTTGCTTCTTGCCTTAACTTCAGCCAAAAGGGTGTCCGAGTTAACTGCTCTGTCGGTACACCCGAGTTGTTTACTGATTCGGGGTGACCGGAGCGGCGCGACACTCAGACCGAACCCCTCCTTTGTGCCCAAAAACCTAAGGAGTGCGTTCAGGTCGAGGGCTATTCAGTTACTATTGTAACTCCCTCTATATTGGTGTTGACAAGTGTTTGACCCGTCGCCTGCAGCTGGTCCAAAATGTGGCTGCACGCCTTCTTACTGGGAAGAGACGTTATGACCACATCACACCCGTTTTGGCAGACCTTCATTGGCTTCCTGTCAGTTACAGGATCCAGTTCAAGTACTTACTTGTTGTTTTTAAATCATTGCATGGACTGGCACCACATTACCTGTCTGAGTTGTTGCACTGCCATGCTCCAGCTAGAGCATTGCGCTCAGCTCAGCAGAATATGTTGGTGGTTCCTCGGAGCAGGAAAAAAACCAGAGGTGACAGGGCCTTCAGTGTTGCAGCTCCCAGACTGTGGAATAGCCTCCCAGCACATATCCGGACTGCTGAGTTTATTGAACTTTTTAAATCTCAGCTAAAAACTCACCTCTTTGCACTGGCTTTTAATACTAGTTGAACATTACATTTTTATATTTGTATGTGTTTTTTATTTATTTATTTTGTATATGTTTCTAGTTATTGTGTTTTTAATTCTCCCATTGTGTTATTTAATATTGTAGTTACTGCCTGTACAGCACTTTGGTCAACTGAAGGTTGTTTTAAATGTGCTATATAAATAAATAAAGATTGAGATTGAGATTGAGTTAGGGGGGTTTAGTCTTCCCCCCCAGGGTGGGGCCAGGGAAGCTAGACTGCACCTCCTCTGCCCGGTGCGTGTGCTAGCATATTATGTGGAGCGCACGGCTACCCTTAGACGCACCGAACAGCTGTTCGTGTGTGTGGGGGGCGGTGTGATCGGGAAAGCTCTGTCCAAGAAACGCCTGGCAGGCTGGCTCTGCGAGTGCATTGCACATGCCTACGGACAGGCAGGGAGAGCCTGCCCCACGGGGGTTCGTGCGCACTCCACACGGGCTGTGGCTGCGTCGGCAGCCTTATTCAACGGTGTGAGTGTGGAGGATATATGCACAGCGGCGTCTTGGTCGACGCCAGGCCCCTTCATAAGGTTTTATCTCTTGGACATGTTGGGCTCTTTCTCCTCGTCTGTGCTGGCGGGGGCAACACAGGACTGGTAGGGGCAGGGGCGGATCTAGACAAATATTCATGGGGTGGCAAGAGGGTGGCAGGAGAT